CAGTCAATCCCAAATTCAACCAACTTTTCCGAGTTCTGGCCTCAGTGTTAGTTTTAGAACAAGATTCTGTTGGATGCAGAATAACTATCTTGAGTTAGGCAGATGACACACACATTAATGATATTAATGACTGATAACCAGAATCAGCCATGTCAAAAGTCAGCAGTAAAGGCTTAATCAAGTCCAGTCTGATTCTGAGGGCTGAGACTTAAGAGCTCACACCTGTGTTTCCCGTGTCCCTTTAGATCATTTCTGCTGCAGAGACGTTGACGCTGCATCCGTCTAGCAGAATCGCTAAGGAAAACCTGGACGTGTTTTGTGAGGCTTGGGAGTCTCAGATTAGCGACATGGCAGCGCTGCTCAGAGAGATCAGTGACGTGTTTGAAGGAAGACGAGGTGAGAAACTGTCCACTTGTTGAAATGGTTCAGCTCCTACTTGTGGACTATTTAGTATAACTGTACTCGTGTTTTGTTTGTAATGTTAAGCCCTGGATACAAAATTATCTTCTTATATTGTCCAGCTGGGTTATTTTTATAATAAGATGTCATTTCTCCCATAGAAATGACAAAAGTATTGTTTTTTTATTTAATATCTAATCAATACAATTTATTAGACTACAGTGTAGTAGATATCTAAATTGGCATTGTAGTTTTCCTACTGAAATCAAGCCAGATTTTTGTTTCTTTTACAGTTTTTCTTTAGTTTTAGTACAAAAGCTCTGTACAATACAGAAACTCTATGATTTAATTCTACTGAATTCATAATAAAATGAATATATTATTTAACTTTCGAAATGCCTTCCTTTTGCTTGGGTGGCATCTCTCTCCCTGATGACTACATAAACTTGGGATGTTGCCCCTGGTGGGTAAGTTCAGTGGTATTTGTACACCATGTAAAGCGGCACTGCACTACACTGCACTGCACTGCACTGCACTGCACTGCACTGCACTGCAGGGAAGGCATCATCATACTCCTTATGTTAATATCAGCTGGGAGTTTTCGTTACTGCCCATCATCCCATGTCTAATGATTTATGTTTATGTGTCTGTCGATCCGTATCTATAGATATTCCCTATGATGGCTTCCGTTAGCATTAAAGCATGACTTCCTAAAAATAAAATGTTATTTAAAGTCGTAACATCAAATTAAATATTTTTTTGGAGATGAGCACTTAAATGTTTTATGTTAAAAATGGGCACATAGGATAAATGTTGACTGACTTAAAAGTTAGAGAATTCTATATCACTTGTTCTCTTTCCATGTCCTTGGGAGCAAGCAAACCATGCCCGGAATGTAGAGTGAATCTAGGTTTCTCTCTCTGTGCTGATCCCTCAACTGAGGGCCTGCGCTGCCTTTCTCTGTGTCTGGGATCCCAGTTTCTAGGCCATGGTGTTTGACCAACAGTGTGGTCTGTCTTTTCTCCTTTATTTGCCTAACATTTAGAATAAACTTTCCCCCTCTTATGCTGGGCCAAATTTCCAATGGAAATTAGAATGGTAAAAGGAGCCTAAAGCAGAGTGGCCCCAGGAACACAGAAACCTCTGTGTCCATAAATGATAGACATGGTCATCGAGAGGTCCGCAACTGAACTAATACAGCCATGCAGACAGCAGCAGCTGCTGTCTAGTGAGAATTCCCTGTGCATCATCATCACATCTAATCTTCTTAGTGACCCCTGAGACACTTAGTGTTTCTGGAGTTTACTAACGGTGAAGTGGAAGTTTAGAGAAGTTAGTGTGCCAGTGTCCCACAGTGGGTGAGAATCTGAGAGCTGGGTTCTTACTGAGCACCAAAAAAAAAAAAAAAAAGTGGAGTCTTACACACATTACCTGGCCCTTTGATTTGCCCTTTCTTTGAGCATCATCTTGCAACATGTTTTAGGTTTTTCTTTTTCTTTTTTTAACCATTTTTGTGACCTTGAGTAGGTCCTTTCACCTCAGGTTTCCACCTTAAAGCAAGAAGTTAGAGTAGATCAAAGCAGGCAGATGTGTGGTATAAGTGTTACAATTCTTACCCATAAAAAATAATTGCTGAGCTGGGCTTAGTGGCACACGCCTTTAATCCCAGCACTTAGGAGGCAGAGGCAGGCAGAGCTCTGAATTTGAAGCCAACCTGGTCTACAGAGTGAGTTCCAGGACAACCAGGGCTACACAGAGAAACCCTGTCTGGAAAAACAAACCAAACCAAACCAAAAATTGCTGGTGTGTGGGGCTGGAAAGATGGCTCAGCAGTCCAGAGCACTGGCTGCTCTTCTCCCTAGCATTGAACTCTGGTTCAGTTCCCAGCGCCCACATGGTGGCTCACAACCATCTGTATCTCCAGTCCCAGGGGGTCCCACACTCTTCTGGCATAGGTGTACACAGACCACATGAAGCCCAAACATTCCCACACATAAAGTAAATACATATTCCTTTACCTTGCTGACGGGTGCTGAGGTGTTGACACACGTGGCCTTCTTGTCCTCTCCACTATCCACCGTGGACAGGCTGCGATTAAGCGGGAGAATTCTGTACTTGGTTTTGGATGGCATAGTCCCTGTGGTTTCTTTTCCTTTTACATTGGATTAGCAAATCAATAAGAACTAAGAGGTCACTGGGGTTGACCGGGTGGCGAGTACTCGAAGGTGGATGGTGATGGCGGCAAAGTAACTCGGGCCAAAGCTCCTTCCAGTGTGCTTAGTTCTCTCGACACTGTAGTCTGCTTCAGCTCTGTTGTGTGAGAGACACAAGAGCCGTGGAGACGGTGCCTCTGTCAACTCTTTGGGAAGGCAAATGCCTGCATTTCAGGGCTGCGGCAACAATGGAGGACCACGAGGTTAGACGACACAAGGTTACTTCGCAAGCCTGCTGTGCCTGAGTAACCACTGTACCCTCTTTATGGTGTCTCAAGACTGAAGAGTCAGACTCGATTCCAGTGCTGTACATGTTGAGATTCCAAGAGACCTGAGGACCATCTGCTGTCAGTCTTCTCGCAGTTCTCATCATTGCATGTCAGAGGCTGGAGGCGAGGCAGGAAAGCGGCTCCTTCCTCCCAAATCCAAGGCCAGCAAACAATTTAAAGATTCCCCTGCAATTCTGATGTTCTAAAGAACTTACCCAAGTGATCATTGTTTTTCAAGTTCCACTAAATGGCCCTTAATAGCAATTCATCCTGTAGATCAGCCTCAGCCAAAGGAAACAGGAATCAAGTTGCCTGGTAATAAACCGGCCCTGGTGAGCACAGGAAAAAAAATTAAAGATGAAATTTGTTTTAATACTAGTGTTTTAGTTAACACATTCTACCCAAAATGTTATCATTTCATGGACTGGAGATGTAGCTTACTTGTAGACTGTTTGCCTAGGATGCACAAAGCCATGGGTTCAATCCCCAAGCTTTGCATACACTGGATGTGAGGGCATCTGCTTGTAAATCCCAGTGCTCGGGAGATGGAGGCAGGACAGTCAGAAGTTCAAGGTCATCCTTGGCTACACAGGGAGTTGGAGGTCAGCTGAGCTACATGAGACTTTGTCTTAAAAAAAAAATAAAGTTAGCCTGTCTGTGGTGGCACAGGTCTTTAATCCCAGCACTGGGGAGTCAGAGGCAGGCAGATCTCTCGAATTCTAGGCCAGCCTGGTCTACAGATTGAATTCCAGAATAGCCAGGGCTACAAAGAGAAACCCTGTCTCAAAACAAAACAAAAAACCAAAACAACAACAACAACAAAAGAACTAAGAAGTGTAGAAATTTTGGCTGGGCAGTGGGGGTACACACCTTTAATCCCAGCACTTGGGAAGCAGAGACAGGTTAATCTCTGTGAGTTCGAGGCCAGCCTGGGCTACAGAGCAAGTTTAGGACAGTCAGGGCTACAGAGAAACCCTGTCTTGAAAATCACACACACATACACACACACACACACACACACACACACACACACACACACACACACAAATTATCATTTCAATCTAAAGTCAGCATTATATATAGCTGAACATACCTCGTTTTTCCTTGAAAAGAAGAAGTCTGTTAGCCAGATCGGGCTGCCGACACAATTTAGCAGATTAAGGTACTTGCCACCAAGCCTGATGACCAAGCAGGAGGAGGGAACTGATTCCCACAGGTTGTCCTCTGACCTCTGCATGTACACTCACACAAGTAGATACATGTTTAAAACAAGGGGAAAAAGAAGCCGTTACCGGCCCAGCTTCGGGTTAGTCGTATAGTTGGGTACAGTCGTATAGTTTTCGAAAGGCTTTGGGTTTAATCCCCAGCACCACAAGGAAGAACAATAAAGCAAAACCAACAACCAAAAACCTCAGTGATTGCTTTTCAAATCTTTTTAAAAAATTTATACTCATTTATTTTATTCTTACAACTAAAATAGTCTATTAAGTAAAGATGGTTTCTAAAAGTCTTAGGGTTTCTATTGATGTGATAAATACTGTAACCAAAAGTAATGTGTAAAATTACCAAAAACACCCAACCAGGACACTCAAAGAACTCGCTTCCCCTATCCCCCACTAAAACGTTAATGCTAAGCTGGGCACGGTGATGCCTGCTTTTAATTCAGCAGGAGGCAGAGGCTAGTGGATCTCTGAGTTTGAGGACAGCCTTGTCTACAAAGCAAGTTCCAGGATAGCCAAAACTGTTACCCAGGAAAACCCTGTCTCAAAAAACCTAAAATAAATAAATAAACTATAGTAATAAATAAGATAAAATGTTAATGCTAAGTGTATTTGAAAAGTAGCAACATGGGTGAATGTGGGTTTCTAATCTTGATTCTTTATGCTATTTGGATTGTTTTTTAAATTTATTCTTTCACAAATCTTATCTTAAATTCTCACCTAAGCTATCACAGACTAGCTTTAAAAAAGAAATCAAAGCTGAGTATTGTGGCCCATACCTTCAATCCCAGCACTTGGGAGGCAGAGGTAGACAGATCTCTATGAGTTCGAGGCCAGTCTGGTCTACAGAGTGAGTTCCAGGACAGCCAGGACTACACAGAGAAACCCTGTCCCAAATAAACAAACAAACAAAACCAAGAACAAATCATGTATTGTAAACTGATCTGCAAGCCAGAAAAATGGCAGATAGGGCAGGCGTGGAATGGACATTGTAGATTGCCCTCCTTTCCTGTTATCCACTTCATGCTGTGCGTCATTTCACAGCCCCCGACCTGTGTGCTTTATTTCATTCTCCTGTCTTGTTCACGGGGTTGTTCTGTCCCTGAGTGAGCATAGTTGGAGATGATGTGATTTGGTATGTGGAGGAGGGAAAAAGCACAGATACTGGTCCTGATGGGAGGATTCTGGTTTTGGGAGTACCAGGCTGGGGGAAGGATCACTCTGAGCGAGGCTACCAGGAAATGGAAGTCAATCCCAATGACACATTCTGCTTTTCCTTTTCCTTTGCTTGGGACGAGCTCTGGCGTTGGAGGTGCCTTGGAGATACAGGAGCTGACCGTCTTCATGCTTGCCAGCCAAGTCAGGCTGTCATGTCTGAATGACATATAATCGACAGTGTAGATTATCACAACCAATGTGTCATATTTGTTTGCGATTTTAAAAGCCAAATGTGAATAATAAAACTGCATCAGTAGAAAAAGTTCTTAAACGATGTATGTTATTTGTAGGAGAGAAGTACGACCATCTTTCGCTTCCAAAGCCGATGGTAAGTACAGGACCCCTGCACACTTCAAAGGCCGTTTTCAGAATTTAAATTGTGCTTTCTTTGCTTTTTGCTACTCCCTTCCTTCAGCAGCAGGGAAAGTTAGGAGAGTCAGTGTCCACTATTCAGTTACTACTCTGGCTGGCAGACTTCATGTGGCCTGTACTCTTAATATTTGTGTTCAGCTTTGGTAGTTGAGAGAACTGTGGAAAGTGGAAAGCGGAAAGTGGCTTTCTTTTCATATCTTTGGTTTAGTTTGCAAAGAAATGTTGAATCATTTTCTGTATATAAAGACATTCATTGCTACACTTGGTAGCGTACGCCTTTATTCCCAGAATTTGGGAGGCAGAGGCAGGCAGGTATCTGTGAGTTAGAGGACAGCCTGGTCAAAGTACTGAATTCCTGGGCTACATAGTTGAGACTTTGTCTCAAAAAAAAAAAAAAAAATGTTTTTATGCTTTCTACATAGGCAAAAACATGCCATGAGAAAGATAAAAAAGAGTAATAAATTAGCTGTACAGTGGTCCTAAGATCCATTTTAGGAATTAGCATTTCTATCTTTTGGCTGATAGCCTTTTAACATCATGTTATCTATGTAACATTTTGGTGAACTCAATGATTCATTTGTAAATAACATGGCATTTATAATTGTGAATAAGATGCAGGATATTTAGAAAAGAGACTTTATCAGAAAAATATCAGTTATCATGACGACTAGTCTTTTAGCGCAGTCAAATGCCCTGATAGCCAAACTTCAGAATTGGGGGAGCCACAAACAAGTAAAAGCAGACTGCAGAAGTAGCTCCTGAGAGAGAAGAAACTGTGGTGGCAGATGAGAAAGTGAAAGACTTAAGACTCCACCCAGCATGAAGTTAAAACTATGTCCCCAGTCACAAAGAAAGGGGGACTCTGGTGTCTCACGTATAGAGCAGGCCACCACAGCCAAATGGATTGGTCATCAAATGCTCCTTGATCAGTTCCTGTTGGCCAGGTGTCCCATGGGGCACTGGGTGGAAAAAGTGCTAATGATGAGCCACACGGGCGAGGGGTTGAAACGTCCTGTTTGCTGTGTAGTTCTGTTGCCTAGACCTGTCTGGCCCAAATTTGATAATCACAAAATAAATTGGGTGAATCATTACATCAATGAAAAAGACAGGATGGTCTTTCAGACACATACCTAATTAAAAATTTAGGTAGCTATGTAAAGAAAAATTTGTGAAGTGGATTTCATATGATAGTTTATTCCCAGTATGTCCCAAACATTATTATTTTACTACTTAACATGGAACTGTGGAAAACTTTTTAGCCTCTTTGTCATCTTAAATCTTCAAAATCTGGGGTGTATTTTACACATATAACACATCGTAATTCAGACTGGCCTTACTGTGGCTAACAGCTGCTATATTAGATAGTACATATTTAATCTTGTATAAAAAGAAAATGAAGAGAGGAGAGAGAATTTATTAACTATTATTAATAGTAACAGTGGTGATGGGCACATGGTTTCAGAAGACAGTATGGTCAGTAACAAGATAGGTGATGTCTGGGGATGGTAATAGCAGTGGGAATGACTGAGAATGGATAGATGACAAATGAAATCCTCACGTTTTCAAGACAAGGGCTGCTGAGACGGCCTAGTGGTTAAGAGCGCATACTGCTCTTTCAGAGGGCTTAGGTTTCGTTCCCATTACCCATGCAGGGTGGCTCACAACCCCCTGACTGAAACCTAACAGTATCAGACACCCTTTTCTGGACACTGTGGGCACTTGCACACACACATACATGTGTACACAGATACACACATACACACACACACACACACATACATGTAGATGTAACCAATCGTCTTATTAAAATAAGAAACACAGAGCCAATGTAAAAGAGAAAGCCGAGAGGTCAGAGCTCAGAGATAAAATCTTACCTCCTGCAGTGCTCCTAACTTCCCCGAGAGAGAGCTTCTTCCTGTTTGTCTGTCTTTAAATAGTCTTTCTGTTCTGCCTTCTCATTGGTTGTAAACCCAACCACATGACTGCCTCGTCACTGCCTGTAAGTACTGCCCTCCAGGTCTTAAAGGCGTATGTCTCCAATACTGGCTGTATCCCTGAACACACAGAAATCTACCTAGCTCTTCTAACCACCACGCTCTTGCTATGGCTCTAATAGCTCTGACCCCAGGGCAACTTTATTTATTAACATAAAATTAAAATCACATTTCAGTACAAATAAAATATCACCATACATACATGTGTACACAGATACACACACACACACACACACACACACACACACACACACACTATGGGTGTGTGCTGAAATACTTTTGTAAACTGAATAGAGGTAGAAGAAAAACATAAAACTGCAAAATCATTTTGTGAATTTTTGGGAAACAGTTTTTTTGTGTCTTAGTTTATTATCAACACAGTTTGGAAGTAAAAGTTTTATCTAATTTTCCTATTTTAATAGCCTTGACTCCAGTAGATGACAGTAGTTAATATCCTGCTGTATTTAATCAAATGAAGATATGTTGATTGTTTTAAGTGCTATAAGCTGGGGCTTCTGTAATACAGTTCAGAATAAGGAAAGACATCATACAGCTGGGTAGGAAATGCGCACCTGAAGCTCTAGCTCTTGGAAGCCTGAGGATCAAGAATCTGATGCCAGCCTGGGCCATAAGACAGATTCCCAAAAAAAGTCAAAACAAACCAACACAGGACAAAAGCAGCAACAACAAAACAAGAAAAGAGAGAGCTCACGCTGTGTGGCTCACTGAGAAGGCACTTGCCTCCCATGCACAGGCCTGGGCTTCATCCCCAGTGCTGTGGGAAAGGCAGAAAAGATATCTCAGACCCTAATGAGCTGAATGGAAGGAGCATGTTATTGAACTTAGTGGGGTCCCCCCAATCTTTAGTAACATCATTTTAAAATATTTCTTTAGTTGAATATAGCACAGCTAACTATACTTTTAGAAAATTTTAGCTCCTTTTTAAGAGAGCAAATATAGTCTTGTGCTATTTATACTTGGAAATCTTCAGCTTTATATAACAAACTGCATTTCCCAATAGTGTCCACTAGGTGACAGGCTTGATCACATTTTTATTTGTTCATTCTTTATACATATATTTATTTTTCTGGGCAGGGGTGGGGGTAGTGTGAGCATGTGCCATGGTAGGTATGTGCAGGCCAGAGACTGTGTGAAGGAGTTGTTCTCTCCTCCTGATATGTGGGTCCTGGGGACAGACTTAGGTTGTCAGGCCAGGCAGCAAGCAAGGGCTTCTGCCCACTGAACTGTGAGGCTAGTCCCATGGCCACATTTTAAAGATGGTTTACCCTTAACAGTCATTAAATACTTTTGTAATTAAATTTGTAAAAATAAAAATCATGTAACACAGCTAAGATAAGGAGTAAAGTCTAAATAAAACCTAAAAGTATCGAGAGGCTGCTGAGTTTTCTTCACATATTGCTTTGTGGCCTACTAGGCCAAAGAAGAAACTAAAGACCAAGTGACACCCAGGCGGAGTCAGTTTAGTTCTCATGAGCACAGGCTTGTGCTTGTGTGTGTGCATGTGTGTGTAGGGCAGCACAGTTTTTCTATGCCAGTATGTATCCCATTATGACATTGAGAGGTACCTGTATATGTACTTGAAAAGTTTGGTGATGAGCGCTGGGGAGATGGCTTAGTGGTTAAGCACGGTGGCTAGTGTTATATACTACCGCTATAACTCTGGCTCCATTGGATCTGTGCCGTCTCCTGGCCTCCAATGGCACCTAGAGTGTACATGGTGCACAGACATTCATGCAAGCAGAACAGCTATACACATAAAGTTTTAAAAAATGAAAAGTTTTGATCTTTTTTTTTAAAGATAGACAGGCACATGAATGTTTACTTGACTGTAATTCACATTTTGCATATATATGTAAATACATGGTAAGTGTGTGTGTGTGTGGGTGTGTGTGTGTGTAATTTGGATATGTGTTTTCACTGGACCAATGGCTTTCTCCGGTTATTGGCCACTTTGTCTCTCCTGGCCTATCCTGTCCTGGAACTCATGCTCTAAGTATGGGAGCTCCTAACATGGCTGAGAGGAGGAGAAATTCTCACCGTGGACTGTCATCTCCAAGGAACTTTTGAATATACAGTCCAAAGACAGATTGTTATAGTTAGTGTAGGGCGTATTGTGGTTCTCTGTTCTTCTTGATGTTAACTGGTATGCATCTGTGAACTAGCCTGGTGACCTAACTATGATAGGTTTCTCCCCTTCTAGAGGAAATGCACTGAGTTCTCAATAGTGATGTGAAAACAAACGTGCTCTTTCTGAAATAGGAGACCACTGAGCACTGGTTCACATGACATCCTAAATCAAAGTGTAAAGTCCACATCCTGGGCTTCAGGCTTAGCAACTGTGGTGGCTTTGAAATTAGGGTGTTGGAATTCAGAGAGGGGAAGGCATTAGGTTATAGAGTCCGAACCAGTAGGAAAGTGCTTACCAAACCTTTAGTGATTCATTTTAATAGACAGTTCACCAGAATCACTCAAATGTTACAGTAGTCTTATTATAGCAGAGAAGCCAGGGAGCTTTGGGGGACATTATCAGTGGATTCTGAGAATATGTGAGGTGTCGTTTCGAGGTCCCTAAAGACCTCGTGCAAAGAGGAAGGCACCTTGAAATACAGAAAACAGACTACTGGACCTGACCCTCACCTTTGTGCCCCTGGCCCTGAATTCCAAACTGATGACTTGCTCTGAGCAGAAACCACCTAGTAGAATATTTACAAGTATAGTTAACTGCAATTTAACTACCTGCTGGGTCTGGTAAAGTTAGGATCCGTCACAAGTTCATATGTTTTTTATTACTGCCATCTTTCCTCACGATTAAATGCTAAGATTTTCTAATCTTTTTATTGTTACAGAAGAATAACGCAAACCTGAAATCCTTAAAGCCTGACAGACCTGATTCAGAGGTAAGCTCCTTGGTTGTGTAGCAGCCTTACATCAATGACGACAGTTGTGACATCTGCCTTCCAAGGACAGACCTGTGACGGACTGTGTTTGCAGGAGCAGGCCAAGACAGCAAAGCTCGGGCTGAAGCTTGCATCGCTCACCTCCGATGCCGACTGTGAACTCGAGAAGTGGGAGGATCAGGAGACCGAGATTGTTCGACACGGCAGGAACATGTCCAGGATGGCCTACTCTCTGTATTTGTTTACTAGGTAATTAATGCAGTGACGTTTGATTTGTCTTCATAGTTGCTTATTCAGAAGTTCTGAGACAGGGTCTCACTGCAGCCCAGGCTGGCCTGGAACTTGCAGTAATCTTCTGTCTCAGGCTCCTGAGTACTGGGATTATAGGCATGAACCCTGAATAAATAAATCTTTGAAAAGCTGAGAAAAGACAACTCCACGAGGGAGAGAGGCTAACTGAAGCTCTGTGGGCTGGGATATATGGTTTGGGGACAGAAATACTAAGGTTCAGGAGAACAGAATTCCTGTAGTACATAGATGTAGAATGCCTTGTTCACTTAGGAATGTCTCTGTAATATAAAAGTGCAGTTGTAGCTACTGGAGTATACATCCTCTGATTTGTGTCTAGACCACCCCCCTCTTACGCATTCTGTTGGAATTTACCTCTCATTTTTTCAGAGTTCTTAATTCTTGGTAGCTTTTAAACTCCTGAATAAAACTGTCCACACAAATTGTATTATGATTACTTTCTACATTTAGAACTGGAATTTTCTATATGCTTCATTGAAGCTGCCGCTGAGTTCCTGCCAGGGCTGAAATTAGAATTGAGGACTTCCTGACTTTGGGTCTGCTCTTTTGATTGCATTAGAAATGTGTTTTGGTTGAGATGAATTATCAGATCTTATATATTTACTCATGAAGCAAAATGAAAAGGACAAAGAGCTCTATTAACTGGCCAGTTTCAGCTTTCTTTGCATTTAAAATTAACATATATAATTTTAACTTAGGAAGTAACAGTTAAAGTTGTTTTAAGAATAAAGTCAAAATATTATCAGTGTGTTCATGTTATTCTTTAAAAATTTGAGTTCTGATAATATACAGAATGCTCTAAGACATAAATGTTACATAAACCAATGTCCAGGTAATATTTATCTTCTTAATAACTCCTTCTGTTTTAGAGGAGAGGGACCACTGAAAACATCACAGGACTTAATTCACTTCCTAGAGGTATGTTTTATTTTCACAAGTACTCAGAGTGATAAGATCAGGCAGGATAAAAAGAGGAAGGTGAGGGGTGGTTGGAAAGACTTCTCTGAGGCGCCTTTGAGTAGGCGCGTTACTGAAGGGAGAGAGTTGGAAGGGGATGTGGGCTAAGAGTATTTCCGAGGCAGGACTCGTGCAATGGCCAGGGTACGAGATGGACCTGAAAGAGTCAGGCGGCCATGCAGACAAAGTGCGGAGCCACAGTGAAGTGGCTGCCATGGTGTCTCTGCAGAGCCTAAATGTCCCTTTGTTTGCAAGTGTGGTGCTGGTGAGGCACTCAGGGCTGAGAAGCAGTGGTATGATATAACGTCTAAAAGGGTTGTGACCTACCCAGCGCAGGAGATGGTAGTGACACTGAGGTGGGGAACACCAGGGAGAAGAGCAGGTTTTAAGGTGGAAATCAAGCATCTTGTTGGATGCAAAGGCTAGTGTCAGGTTGAACATTTTGGGGAGTTCCTGGCTTTAATGTGCTTTTACAAGTGTGACATTCAATCAGACAGACACAGCAGAGCAGCCGTGAGAACTGAGAGAATGTGGAATGAGGAGGGATGTGGGGAAGTGAATCATTCAGTGCCACCCGACCTAAGAGAAAGCCTGCTGCTTCCCCTT